AGTTCAAACTGAATTCTGACATTGCCATGGGAGTGAACTTGGGAGTAAAGTATCACCCTGTTACTTAACCACCCTGTGGTTAAGACCACAGCCCTGGATATATAGAGACTGTGAGGCAGTATCATGCAGCAATGCTGTGCCTGGATTCCTCTCCCACAAAAATTGTGAGCTTTTAAATATTTGTAGTCTTAAGATTCAAGGCATTTAGACAATGTTGTCATAGAGGAATGGACAACTAACAGTCTACCAGGTCCCAACATCTGGTCTATCCTCTGCCTCCTCCCTGCCTCTCCCCTCCCACGATCCCACAGCCACATTTTTCACCTTTCTAATGTTTCTGGACAAGCTAATTTCCATCACCTATTCTCTGCAACAGCAATATCTTCTCCCTGACATGACTGCAGACATGTGCAGGGTGGTTTCCTCTTGCCTCTTGTCATTCTGTCCCCAACAAATGCCACCTCAGTGAGGCCTCTCATACCTTTCAGTGACTCCCCAGCCTATCCTCACAGCACACTCATTATTTTTGCTATTACAGTTCTTGCCCTTTTTTTCACATGTCTTGTCTTTCATACTTTTGTTCATCTCCCCTCCAGACTGTTAAGACCTGGCAGGCAGGGACCACTTAGTCATTGTAATCCTTGCACTTAGGCCCACCAGATCCCCTAGCACAAGGTGAGTGCTTGAAGAAGTTACTGAATGAATAAATAGAAGTACTTTGTATCAATCCATCTAGATTTTCACCAGTTTATTCAATTGTGATAACTATTAGTAATAGGAAAAATATGTTGGATCTGAGGCAGGCGAAATCCAGAATGACTTCTGCATGACATTTCCCTTGTTCAGATGCTCCAGCAAAACTCAATGGGCACCACTGACACAGGAATCTGCCTGTTCTCTGGGATCCATAACTCATACTGGAGCCACAGTCATGAAGACGACCAAACAATATCAGTACCTTTATGTGGCTGACATGAAGGCAGTTGCTCTTTAAGGTCCCAGGGTAAATCTCAGAACTTACAGGCTCCAGGGCTGTGCAAGGGATCTCAGGATTCTGCCATTCCCTTTTCTCTGTCCATACCCAGTGTATACTCTTTACTCAGGAGGCCAGGAAAATGACACCCTATTTCCAAATGAAGACCCTGGGGGTCCAACAAGGACAGGTATTGTACTTGGACTCCAGACTCAGCATACAGTGCTCTGACATGCCCTTCCCTATTCCAAGTCCTCACCAATCCAAGTCCCCAAGCCTCTCTAGAGTCTAAAAGACTTCCAGCCAGTATAAAGCATTGCTCTAATATCTCAGAACACAGTGAGTCATTGATGGAGAGCCAAGGCCAATTGACACTTAATGATTATATGGAACTCTGGAGAAATCCACTGGGAATGCAATATTGTACAGGAGAACACTGAAGTCTTTTCTTCTGTAGCTATTGACTAAACTAAATCATAAATCCAGGAGGCCACAGAGTTGGACTGCAGTACCAAAGTCCTTTCCTCTGGAGCCTGGGCCAGTGATGGCCCTGGGTCCAGCAGAAACCTACAAACTTCAGGAATTCCTTGCCCATCTTTGGGCCTTTGAGCATGCAGCTATGAAAATGGATGCTGCTGCCCCATGGTGGGGCTCTCTGTAACCTCTTTCTTCTTTCTCTCTTGTCACAGTGTCAGCTCTTTCTTAAACAGAACTTTAGAATGTGTGTTCCAGAGCACATGTGGGGATTTGGACAGTAAAATGACCCCAAATGGAGAGCAAGTGGGCATGATTCCTCCCAGAATATTAGAGTCTCTCATTTCTAAAGCAAACATGATGGAAGGGGCTTGAGCCATGGCCTAAAATGACAGACGCCAGCCTTATCCTCTGGACACTTCCACCTCCTGTTATCTGGGGAGGTTCTATTCTCTTGATCATAGCAACCACCCCAAAGTACAATGAGAGATTGCATACATAACTACAAAATCCAGTTCTCAAGAGGATATGATGTCAGGCTCTGTTAATACTGGATGGGGTGTCAGGTGAGGAGTGCTCAGCCACACTTGCATACTTTATACAGGTATGGAGTATATTCATTTACTTTAGATAGGCATAAAAATCTGCATAAAACAGGCAAATTTTTGGAGCCAATGAAGAAAAATCAAGTCTGTGTCCACCACCACGTATGCAGGACGTCACTAATCCAACAGTGCATGAGTGTGCTCCCTGCCTTATGAGGCATGGTAATGCAGCAAAGACTCTGCTCAAGAAGTAGGTCTGAAGCAACCACCCCACCTCAATACCACCCACTGTTCAACCAGACAGAAGGACTATATCTCAGAATTACACAATCTGCTTCCACATCTGCCTCTGCTGCTAGCCATAGAAGGATTTGTCCTTCAGAAAGACAGATATCCTTTCCAAAGTCACACAGTGCTCCAATGGTAAAGTTCTTTCTTTGGTTAGGGTTAGATTTGGGCACATGTAGTAGGTGTCAAAGTAATAGTGGCACAAACAGGATACTGAGGTGTTTCTTTTTCATATAAATAAAACTGGATGTGGCTAGTCTATAACTGATTATGGATTGTCTACCATAAGAGATTACATACCATTGATCTCCCTGCCCTAACACCTTAGTATATGATTTCCTTTTTTAAAACTTAAAAAAGCAGAATCTATACTTAATGCACTATTACTTAATTCCTTAATTCCTCAATTCCTTAATTTTAATCAATGAAAATAATCCCCTCCTAATCAACTCCATCAAATGTCTTTCAATTGAAAGTATTTTTCCGGGGTATCTAATTTCTTATAATATCCTCCCAACAAGAATTCCACAGATAACTATGCCTCATTATCTGAAATTAACTACCCTTGCTGTGACTATTATAGATCTCATTCTGGCATTAGAACACAACCTTGCAACTAAGAACCTAAAATTTAAATATCCTTCAAACCTTTTCAAGTTCTCTAATCTCCTGGAATACTTCCCAATCATTATGCACTGCCTCCTACCAATAGCAAACCCAACTATAAGCCAAAAATTTGCATCAATGTTACTAGACATAATCTGATTAGAAAATTTATTACCAAAATCCATCTTCTATTTTCAGATAAAAATATCAACTGCTGTATCTAGCCAAAAAGGATTAATTAAACTATATTTCCTTTCTTTTATGATCACCTTAATTCTTGGCCTATTCCTACTTAATTTCCATAGTAACCTCCATAATCACCAATACACCAGTAAGCAGGGATCAACCAGTGACAATAACTAATCAGGTTCTGTAGCTATATAAAGCTGCTATTCCTATAGCTTTTTTACTAAGAAATACTGAATCACCTGTATCACTCAATCACCTACATCATTAAACTTAAACACAACCTCAACGTCATCTTTTTAAAAATATAGCAAGCCATTAACAACTCTGCCAATACCCCTGTAATAAACATTCCTAACACAGTCTTATTAGATGCTCAAACCTCAGGGTACAGTTCAGTAGCCATAGCTGTAGTATAACCAAACACCACAAGCAACCCCCCTAAATAAATTAATAAGATTATTAAACCTAAAAAGGATCCCCCCAAATTTAATACAATTCCACAACCAATACCACCAGCCACAATTAAACCAAACCCACCATAAATTGGAGAAGGCTTTGAAGAAAAACTAACAAAGCTAATCACAAAAATAGTACTTAAAATAAATACAATGTACGTTATCATTTCCATATGGAATCTAACCATGACCAATGATATGAAAAGCCATTGTTGCATTTCAACTATAAGAATTTAATGACCAACATCCGAAAATCCCTCCCACTCATCATAATCATCAATGAGTCATTCATTAACCTCCCTGCTCCATCCAACATTTCAACATGATGAAATTTCGGCTCCTTACTAGGAGTTTGCCTCATTCTATAGATTCTGACAGGTCTGTTCCTAGCCATACACTATATGTCAGATACAGCAACCGCCTTTTCATCAGTAACTCGTATCTGTCACAACATCAACTTTGGCTGAATCATTCGATACATACATGCCAAAGGAGCTTCCATATTTTTCATCTGCCTATTCATGCATGTAGGCCAAGGCATGTACTATGGCTCCTACACCTTCTCAGAAACATGAAACATCAGAATCATATTATTTACACTCATGTCTATAGCCTTCATAGGCTACATCCTACCATGAGGCTGAATAACCTTCTGAGGAGCTACCGTCATCACCAACCTCCTGTCAGCAATCCCATACATCGGAACTAACTTGGTATAATGAATCTGATGAGGGTTCTCAGTAGATAAACCCTAATACGATTTTTTGCCTTTCACTTTATCCTCCCATTCATTATTTCAGCTCTAGCAGCAGTCCACCTTCTATTCCTACATGAAACAGGATCTAACAACCCCTCAGGAATAGTATCTGATTCAGATAAAATCCCATTTCACCCATACTATAAAATCAAAGACATTCTAGGTCTTCTATTCCTAATCCTAACACTAATATTACTTGTCCTATTTTCACCAGACCTTCTAGGAGATCCAGACAACTACACCCCTGCCAACCCCCTAAACACTTCACCACACATTAAGCCCGAATCATGCTTCCTATTCACATATGCAATCCTTCAATCTATCCCTAATAAACTAGGAGGAGTCCTAGACCTAATTCTCTCTACTTTAATTCTGTAAGTCATTCCGCTATCCCACACTTCAAAACAAGGAGGAATGATATTCTGACCACTAAGCCAATGCCTATTCTGAGTCCAATGCCTATTCTGTAGTAGCAGACTTACTAATAGCCAATGCCTATTCTGTAGTAGCAGACTTACTAACCCTAACATGAATTGGAGGACAACTAGTAGAATACCCTTTCATTACTATTGGTCAATTAGCCTCTATCCTATACTTCTCAACCCTCATAATCTTCATACCTATTTCTGGCATCATCAAAAATCGTCTTTCAAAATGAAGAGTCCTTGTAGTATATAAAATACCTTGGTCTTGTAAACCGAAAAAGGAGAAAGCCCTCCCTAAGACTTCAAGGAAGAAGCAACAGCCCCACCATCAGCACCCAAAGCTGAAATTCTTTTTAAACTATTCCTTACAATACCAGAAATCGACCCCACAATTTTCATAATTCATATATTGCATACTTTCATACTGTGCTTGTCCAGTATGTCATTTTTCCATTATGATGCAAACCGAAGCATGTACAATGCATCTATTAATATTACATATGACATACTATGTATAATCGTGCATTAGCCAGCTTTATGAGCAGTCTCTCTATGGATCTCAACTGTCCAAAAAAGCTTAATCACCTAGCCTTGAGAAACTAGCAGTCCTTGCTTGAACATGTACCTCTTCTCAGTCAGGGTCCATTTCAACGTGGGGGTTTCTATTCTGGACCTATACTGGCATCTGGTTCTTACCTCAGGGCCATTCTAATTCTTTAATCCTACAGCCATCTCAAATAGGACATCTCAATTGACTAATGACTAATTAGCCAATTTCACACATAACTGTGGTGTCATGCATTTGGTATCTTTTAATTTTTAGGAGGGGATATTGCTATGACTCAGCTATGACCGTAAAGGTCTTGATGCAGTCAAATAACTTGTAGCTGGGTTTATTCACTATGCTGTGTCTCCATGCTCACACAAATAAGGTGCAATTCAGTCAATGGTTACTGGACATACACTTTAACTTCAACGCTTCAATAGGATGCACACACACGCACACACATATGTGCACACATGGATGTAAACATACACATGCACATACACATGTATACACATACACACACGTACACATACACACACATTTGTACATGTACACATACACACATATACACGTATTTATCCAACAGATAAGCAATTAGTTTAACCAACCCCACTTATTCCCAGTAACCCTATGGTGAGAATACATATATATTATTGTCCTGCCAAACCCCCAAAACAAGACTAAATTCTCATCCAAACATAAGGCCTAAGTATAAGTCTTTATAAATACACCAAAAAAATCCCAACTAAACATTAGCTAAAAATACCAATGTTACACATCGATTCACAGCTATCTATATATACAAAACCTTAAGCTCTAATTCGTCCTTATTGAGCAATATTCTCTCACAACTAATTCCATTAAACCAATTAACTAACCCAATATATCCCTTGTTAATGTAATTTAAACACACAAAGCAAAGCACTGAAAATGCCTAGATGAGTTGTCAGACTCCATAAACACAAAAGTTTTGCCCTAGCCTTTCCATTAGGTATTAATAGGATTACACATGCAAGCCTCCTCACCCTGGTGAAATGCCCTCTAAATCGTTAATGATCTAAAAGACCGGGTATCAAGTACACAACAATGTAGCTCATGATACTTGCTTAGCCACACCTCCCACAGGATACAGCAGTGATAAAAATTAAACCATGAATGAAAGGTCGACTAAGTCATATTAAACAAGGGTTGGTAGATTTCGTGCCAGCCTCCAAAGTCATATGATTAACCCAATCTAACAGACCTACAGCGTAAAGTGTGTTATAGAGGCATTCCACGCTAAAGTTAAATGTTAACTAGGCAGTAAAAAGCTACAGTTAACATAAAAATATAGCACGAAAGTAACTGTAACACCTTCGACCACACGATAGCTAAGACCCAAACTGGGATTAGATACCCCACCATGCTTATCCCTAAACTTAGCTAACTAAATAAATCTATCCACCAGAGAACTACTAGCAACAGCTTAAAACTCAAAGAACTTTATATCCCTCTACAGAAATCTGTTCTATAATTGATAAACCCTGATGCGCCTCATCACCCCTTGCTAATCCAGTCTATATACCACCATCTTCAGCAAACCCTAAAAAGAAAGAAAAGTAAGCACAAGTATCTTAACCTAAAAAAGTTAGGTCAAGGTATAACTTATGAGGTGGGAAGTAATGGGCTACATTTTCTATATTAGAACACTTTTCAGTGAAAGTTCTTATGAAATTAAGAACGAAGGGAGGATTCAGTAGTAAATTTAGAATAGAGAGCTCAATTGAACTGGGTCATGAAGCACGCACACCCCTCCCATCACCCTCCTCAAGTGAAAAAACTAAAAGGCAATCTATTCAAATTATTAAAAACACAAGAGGAGAGAAGTCATAACAGGGCAAGCATACTGGAAAGTGTGCTTGGATAAACAAGATGTAGCTTAAATAAAGCATCTGGTTTACACCCAGAATATTTCATATCAAACTGACCATCTTGAGCCAAAACTGGCCCAAACAACCATAAATTCAACTAACATAAAACACTAAATCAAAACATTTAGTTAATTCTTAAAAGTATAGGAGATAGAAAGTTAAGTTGAGGCTAAATAGAAAATACCATAAGGGAAAGATGAAATAAAATTGAAAGCACTATACAGCAAAGATTACCCCTTGTACCTTTTGCATAATGAATTATCTAGAATAACCTAACAAAGAGAACTTAAGCTAGGCTCCCCAAAACCAGATGAGCTGACTATGAACAATCCTTACAAGATGAACTCAGCTATGTTGCAAAATAGTGAGAAGATTTGTAGGTAGAAGTGAAAAGCCTAACAGGCCTGGTGATAGCCGGTTACCCAGAACAGAATTTTAGTTCAACTTTAATTTTTTTAACGTTTATTTTTGAAGGGGAGAGAGTGGGGGAGGGTCAGAGAGAGAGGGAGACACAGAATCCGAAACAGGCTGCAGGCTCTGAGCCATCAGCACAGAGTCCGATGCGGGGCTTGAACCCAAAAACTGTGAGATCATGACCTGGGCCGAAGTCGGACACTTAACCGACTGAGCCACCCAGGCACCCCTGGTTCAACTTTAAACTTACCTAAAAACACCAAAAATTCTTTTTTTCTTAAATTTTTTAACATTTATTCAATCTTAGAGACAGAGAGAGACAGAGTGTGAGTGGGGGAGGGGCAGAGAGAGAGAGGGAGACACTCTGAAGCAGGCTTCAGGCTCTAAACTGTCAGCACTGAGCCCGATGTGGGGCTCGAACTCACAGACCATGAGATCATGACCCGAGCTGAAGTCAGACACCTAGCCAGCTGAGCCACCCAGGTGCCCCAAAACCCCAAAAATTCTAATGTAAGTTTAAAATATAATCTTAAAAGGTACAGCTTTTTAGAACTAGGATACAACCATTTTTAGAGAGTAAGCATAAACATAACCATAGTTGGCTTAAAAGCAGCCATCAATTAAGAAAGCATTCAAGCTCAATAATTAAAACATCTTAATATCAAAAATATGCAATCAACTCCTAACTCAATACTGGGTTAATCTATCTAGCAATAGAAGCAATAATGCTAATATGAGTAACAAGAAATATTTCCCCTGATCCTTATGCCAGAGCAGATAACCACTGGTAGCTAACAACAAGATAAAAATAATCTAGCCTATAAACTAAATATCAAACCAATTGTTGATCCAACACAGGCATGCAACCAAGGAAAGATTAAAAGAAGTAAAAGGAACCTGGCAAACATAAACCCTGCCTGTTTACTAAAAACATCACCTCTAGTACTTCTGGTATTAGAGGCACTGCCTGCCCAGTGACATTCATTAAATGGCTGCAGTATCCTGACTGTACAAAGGTATCATAATCACTTGTGCCCTAAATAGGGACTTGTATGAACAGCCACACGAGGGTTTTACTCTCTTACTTCCAATCCGTGAAATTGACTTCCTGTGAAGAGGCGGAAATACAACAATAAGATGAGAAGACCCTATGGAGCTTTAATTAATTGGCTCAAGGAGACGACACCAACACAGCTGACAGGAACAACAAACCTCCACATGAGCCAACAATTTAGGTTGGGGTGACCTCGTAGAATAAAACAACCTCCAAGTGATTCAGATCTAGACTAACCAGTCAAAAGTATAACATCACTTATTGATCCAAACTATTTGATAAATGGAACAAGTTACCCTAGGGATAACAGCGCAATCCTATTTTAGAGTCTATATTGACAACAGGGTTTATGACCTCAATGTTGGATCAGGACATCCTGATGGTGCAGCAACTATCAAAGATTCGTTTGTTCAATGATTAAAGTCCAATGTGATCTGAGTTCAGACTGGAGCAATCCAGGTGGTTTCTATCTATTAACCAATTTCTCCCAGTACAAAAGGACAAGAGAAATGAGGCCTACTTTACCAAGCACCTTCAACCCAATAGATGATATAATCTTAATCTCCAAAGTTTATCTATTTACATCTCCAGAGAGTTTGGGTTTGTTAGGGTTGCAGAGCCCGGTAATTGCCTAAACTTAAACCTTTATAATCAGAGGTTCAACTCCTCTCCCTAATAACATGTTTATAATCAATATTCTTTCATTAATTATCCCTACAATTCTCCTCACCATAGCTTTCCTAACATTAGTCGAACGTAAGGTACTAATGTATATACAACTTCGCAAAGGACCAAACATTGTGGGGTCACATGGTCTGCTCCAACCCATTGCAGATGCCATAAAACTCTTCACCAAAGAACCCTTACATCCTCTATATCTATATTAATCATAGCACCTATCCTGGCTCTCTCATTAGCCCTAAGCATGTGAATTCCTCTCCCCATGCCATATGCACTCATCAACATAAATTTAGGAGTACTATTCATATTAGCTATGTCAAGCCTCGCTGTCTACTCAATACTATGGTCAGGATGAACCTCATATTCTAAGTATGCTTTAATTGGAGCCCTACAAGCTATAGCCCAATTTCATACAAAGTTACACTAGCCATTATTCTCCTATTAGTATTACTAATAAATGGGTCTTTCACACTAGCCACACTAATTACTACCCAAGAACACATATGACTAATTCTTCCCACATGGCCCCTAGCCATAATATGATTCATCTCAACATTAGCAGAAACCAGCTGAGCCCCATTCGATCTAACAGGAGAAGCAGAGCTTGTTTCCAGATTCAACATAGAATATGCAACAGGTCCCCTTGCCCTATTTTTCCTAGCAGAATATGCTAACATCATCATAATGAATATTCTCACAACAATTCTATTCTTTGGAGTATCCCACAACCCGTATATACCAGAACTATATACCATCAATTTCACCATTAAAACTCTACTCCTAACAATCACCTTCCTATGAATTTGAGCATCCTACCCACGATTCTGATATAACCAACTGATACACCTTTTATGAAAAAACTTCCTACCCCTCACCCTAGCCCTATGCATATGACATGTATCCTTGCCCATCATCACAGCAAGCATTCCACCTCAAACATAAGACATATGTCTGATAAAAGAGTTACTTTGATAGAGTAAATACTAGAGGTTTAAATCTTATTTCTAGAATTACAGGACTTGAACCTAATCCTAAGAATTCAAAAATCTTCATGCTACCATATTACACCATATTCTACAGTAAGGTCAGCTAAATAATCTATCAGGCCCATACCCCGAAAATGTTGGTTTATATCCTTCCCATACTAATTAACCCCCCTATTCTCATTATTATGATTCAACTGTCATCTCAGGAACCATAATCACAATAACAAGCTCTCACTGACTAATAATCTGAATTGGCTTCAAAATAAATATACTAGCCACTATCCCTATTCTCATAAAAAATATTTAACCCATGAGCCATAGAAGCTCTACAAAATATTTCCTAACACAAACAACTGCATCTATACTCCTAATGACAGGAATAATTATCAATGTTCTATATTCAGGACAATGAATAATATAAAAAAAAAAAAACTCAACCCCATAGCATCAATTATAAAAACCACTGCTTTGGCAATAAAACTGGGCTTGGCTCCATTTTACTTCTGAGTTCCTGAAGTTACACAAGGAATCTCCCTATCTTCAGGCCTAATTCTATTGACATGACAAAAAAATCACACCGCTATCCGTCCTCTACCAAATCTCACCTGCCATTAACCCCAATTTACCACTAACAAGAGCTATCATACCAGTCCTAATCGGAGGATGAGGGGGACTCAACCAAACACGACTACAAAAAATCCTAGCATACTCCTCAATCTCCCATATAGATTGAATAACAGCTATCATACTATACATCCCTACAATAACAATTCTAAACCTAGCTATTTACATCATTATAACACCCACCAGCTTCATACTATTCATACACAGCTCCACCACAACAACACTATCCCTATGACAAACAGGAAATAAAACACCCCTGATCACCTCACTCATTCTGATACTAATATTATCTTTAGAAGGTCTCCCTCCACTCTCAGGATTGATCCCCAAATGAATAATTATCCAAGAATTAACAAAAAATGGGGTAATTATTATACCCACACTACTAGCTATCACAGCATTACTCAACCTATACTTCTATATACAACTAACATACACCACAGCACTAACCATATTCCCCTCAACAAACAATACACAAATAAAATGACAATTTGAAAGTACAAAAAAATAACTTTTTTATCCCCTCTCATCATAACCTCAACCATACTACTCCCATTCACACCAATATTATCCATCCTGGATTAGGAGTTTAGGTCCAAACAGACCAAGAGCCTTCAAAGCCCTAAGTAAGTCATATCAATTTAACTCCTGCACACCTTATTCTAAGGACTGCAAGAATCTATATTACATCAATTGATTTCAAATCAAACACTTTAATTAAGCTAAGCCCTTACTAGATTGGTGGGCTTCCATCCCTTGGAATTTTAGTTAACAGCTAAATACCCTAATCAACTGGCTTCAATCTACTTCTCCCACCACCTAGGAAAAAAAAGTCAGGAGAAGCCCCAGCAGCGTTGAAGCTGCTGCTTTGAATTTTCAATTCAATATGATACTTTACCAAAGAGCTTGGCAAAAAGAGGACTTAAACCTCTGTTCTTAGATTTATAGTCTAATGCTTTACTCGGCCATTTTACCTAAGTTTATAAACCGCTATTTTCCACTAACCACAAAGATATTGGCACTCTCTATCTCCTATTTGGTGCCTAAGCTGGCATAAGTAGGAACCATCCTTAGGCTTCTAATTCAAGCTGGACTTGGCACCGAGCACTCTATTGGGAGATGATCAAATCTATAATGTAATTGTCACTGCCCATGCATTCGTAATAATCTTCTTTATGGTAATACCAAGCATGATTGGAGGCTTTGGGAATTGATGAGTACCATTAATAATTGGAACACCTGATATGGCACTCCCCCCAAAAGATAACACAAGCTTCTGACTTCTCCCTCCATCCTTCCTACTCCTGCTCACATCATTGATATTTGAAGACCCAACCTACATGTCCCTAAAATAAGAAAGAAAGGAATTGAACCCTCTAGAACTGGTTTCAAGCCAATGGCATAACCACTATGTCTTTCTCAATAGAGACATTAGTAAAAAGATTACATAACTTTGTAAAAGTTAAATTATAGGTTTAAATCCTTTGTGTCTCCATGCCATATCCCTTTCAACTAAGTTTTCAAGATGCTACATCCCCTAGTATAGAAGAACTTCTGCACTTTCATGATCACACATTAATAATTGTATTTCTAATTAGCTCCCTAGTTCTCTACATCATTTCACTAATACTAACAACCAAACTTACACATACAAGCACATACATACAAGCACATACATACAAGCACAATAGATGCCCAAAAAGTAGAAACTGTCTGAACAATCCTGCTGGCTATTATTTTAATTCTTATTGCCCTACCCTCTCTAAAAATCCTTTACATAATAGACAAAATCAACAACCCTTCTCTAACCGTAAAAACTGTAGGGCATCAATGATACTAAAGTTATGAGGATACAGATTACGAAGCCCTAAATTTTGATTCCTACATAATCCCCACTCAAGGATTAAAACCTGGAGAACTGCGACTGCTAGAAGTTGACAATCAAGTAGTACTGCCAACAAAAATAACCATTCATATACTAATCTCATCAGAAAATGTCCTGCACTCATGGCCCTCCCATCCCTAGATCTAAAACCTGATGCCATCCCAGGCTGACTAAATCAAACAACACTAATGGGCACACAACCTGGATTATATTATGGCCAATGCTCTGAAATCTGTGACTCAAACCACAGCTTTATACCTATTGTTCTTGAATTGGCTCCATTAACATACTTCGAAAAATGATCAGCATCTATACTATAAAATTATTAAGAAGCTAAATAAGTATTAACCATTTAAGTTAAAGATTGGGAGTTTAAATCTCTTAATGATATGCCACAACTAGATACATCAGCTTGATTCATCACTATCATATCAATATTCATAATGCTATTTATTATATTTCAACTAAAAATTTCAAAACATTCACACCCAGGAAATTTAGGACCCGAATGGTCAGTAACACTAAAACAACCTAACCCTTGAGAAAAAAATGAATAAAAATCTATTCACCTCTTTCATTACCCCAATAATAATAGGACTACCTATTGTTATCCTAATTATTCTATTCCCAGGCATTCTATTTCCTCACCTAATTGACTAGTCAATTACCATCTGATTTCATTACAACAATGATTAGTTCAACTGACATCAAAACAAATACTAGCTATCCATAGCTACAAAGGACAAAACTGAGCTCTAATATTAACATCCCTAATCCTATTCATTGGCTCAACAAATTTACTAGGCCTATCACCACACTCATTCACACCTACCACCCAACTATCAATAAACATAGGAATAGCCATTTTCCTGTGAGCTGGCACCATAGTCACCAGGTTCCAATATAAAACGAAAGCACCCTTAGCTCACTATCTACTTCAGGGAACACCTTTCCCCTAATCCCTATACTTGTAGTCATCAAAACCATTAGTCTCCTTATCCAGCCAATAGCTTTGGCCGTACAACTCACAGCTAATATCACAACAGATCACCTGTTAATTCACTGAGTTGGACGGGCTACTCTAGCCCTAATAAATATCAGCACCACTATCACTCTCATTACCTTTATTATTCTTGTCTTACTAACAATTCTTGAATTTGCTATGGCCCTTATTCAAGCCTATGTCTTTACCCTGTTAGTAAGCCTATACTTATATGACAACACCTAATGATCCACCAAACCCACACATATCACATAGTTAACCCAAGTCCATGACAACTCATGGGAGCTCTCTCAGACCTACTAATAACTTCAGGACTGGCAATATGATTTCACTTCAACTCAACATCATTATTAACTCTAGGACTGACAACCAACCTGCTAACAATATATCAGTGGTGACGGGATATTGTCCAAGAAAGCACATTTCAAGGCCCCCATACACCTATTGTTCAAAAGGGCTTGTGGTATGCAATAATTATCTTCATCATTTCAGAAGTATTTTTCTGGAGATTTGGGGAGGAGCCAAGATGGCAGAACAGCATGGAAGTTTTTGTGTGTCTCATGTCCATGAAATCGAGCCGACCAACACTAAACCATCCTACACACCTAGAAAACTTACTTGAGTATTAACACAACAATCTACACAACCTGAACCACAAAATTCAGCAGGCACATGATGCAGAGAGCTGAACTTGGGGAGCGAGAAGCCGTGAAAAGTAGGGAACTACTTTTGCAGCAGAGAGAGGACAGAGACTGGGGGGGGGGGAGAGTATGGGAAAAGCACCCCTCCCCAAAAGCAGCTGGAGAGAAAATGGAGAATTTGAAATAGCTGCAGGGACTAAACTAAAAAGGGAGAAAGGAGAGGGTTTAAATTCCATTAAGACTGTAAACAAGGGGAGCACAAAGGCTGCAACTCCACAGCTTGATACCTGGTGGTGATCTGGTGGGAAGGGTGAATCCCCAGGAACAGAGTGGGGTCCACGAGGTTCTTGGGCCACACAGGGAAAAGTGGTTCCACTGCTGGAAGGACATTTGGTAGAGACTGTTGAAGCCATCTGGTCCCAGCATACCCCAGAAGGCAGCCACATTCGCTGGTGCTGGGTCAAGTCGTTAAGGGTGAAGCCTGGTGCCAGATGTGTGCTGTGATTTTCCATAGTCCCTGAAACGCTGCTGCTACACTGTCTCTCAAACATTTTCTGGGACAGGCTGGCACCTGGCCACAGTCTCGGGGCACCAGCAACAACAGGGTCCAGAGGGCATTCCTTGGTGCAGCCAATATTCAGCCATTGCTCATTTGGCCATTGCTCGGTGAGACCCTCCTGCAGAGGGGCAGAACAGGTCAAAGCCACAGTCCTTCAGAATTAAGGGGCCAGGGGAAAAAAAACAAAACTTGGGAGAGAGGTACTGCCTGAGACCTGGTCATGGAGAGTGAAAAAGTGGGAAGTGGACAACAGCTGAAGACAGAGGATGGGTGTCCAATTGCTGATGCAGAGAACAGACTGGGTAGGTGGGTGGCGCCATTTTCACTGCTCCCACGCATGTGCATACACACCTACCAGCGCCTCAACAATCCACCCCAGTAGACTAGCAGCACCACCTAGTGGAGAGCAGAGCTGTTACACTGAGCCCCACCCAACTGGGCCAACTTCGCTCGTCAAGAACACAAGTCTCACTCCTGGCTTAATTTATGGACTATAAAAAGCTACATAGACTGACTTCTAGGGGGAAACGAAGCAATTTCAGTCCTACTTCAATCTGTTAGCAGTTTCATCTATTCAATTTTCTTTCTTTTTTATTTTTCTCTTTTACAATTATTTTTCTTGGATACAGAAAGAGAAAAAATTCATTTTTATTTTCAGTTTTTATAAAAAATATCTTCCTTTAATTTTTATTACTATATTTTTTAGTTTTTTGTAAATTTTTTCAAATTCTACATTACTTTCATCATTTTATTTTAGTCTACTTCAGTGTATTCACCTTTTCAAATTTTCAAACAATTTCCTGTTTTCTTTCTTTTTCTTTTTTTCTTTTTCATTTCTTATCTTTTTCTTGAATGCAGAAAGAGAAAAACTTCATTTTTACTTTCAATTTCTATTAAAAATATTTTTATTTAATTTTTATTACTATATTTTTTACTTTTATGTAAATGTTTTCAAATTCTATTTTACTTTGATACTAGCAAATCGAATTCAAGAGCATATAAAAAGAATTATTCACCATGATCAAGTGGGATTCATTCCTGGGCTGCAGGCCTGGTTCAACATTCACAAATCAATCAATGTGATACATCACATTAATAAAGAAAAGAAAAGAACTATATGATCCTGTCAATCGATGCAGAAAAAGCATTTGACAAAATTCAGCATCCTTTCTTACTAAAAACCCTCAAGAAAGTGTGGATAGAAGGAACATACTTAAACATCATAAAAGCCATTTATGAAAAGCCCACAGCTAATATCATCCTCAATAGGGAAAAACTGAGAGCTTTCCCCCTGAGATCAGGAACACAACAGAGATGTCCACTCTCACCGCTATTGTTTCACATAGTGTTGGAAGTGCTAGCATCAGCAGACAACAAAAGGAAAT